ATGTTTTACTGCTGCTTGTAGATGAACTACACTAGTTAAAGGTAACTGGGTTTAATCAGTGCAAAATATACACACTGATTAAATTGGTTGGAGGTGGATTTTATTTTGGCCACACAATTTACATCACAATATATCACTCTGATTAGATTTCCTTGTTTTATGTGACAATCTGATTCTTTGACCAGCAATCAAATTCAGAACTTTATAAAATGCTAATCAATGAAAGTATGCTAAATACACACAGTGGCACACAGGATTGTAAAGATGCAAAAAGCTAAGTATATTCTTTAAGAAAAAGTTGCAAATAGATTCTCGTTCTTCAACTAAAACATATTGTTTTGTATCTTTGGCCACAATGTCCGGTAACGCAAAATTAATCAAATTGTTTTTACTGTTTTTCACAGCCATCGACATCACGTTCTCCACGACCAGAATGTGGATAAGAGGATCTGCATCCCGATGAACTCCATCTCCCCTGATCAGGCTCCCTACACTGTGTGCAACAGCTCCCTGTCTGAGTACGGAGTCCTGGGTGAGTGGCACACCGACCGGCAGCGCCATGAAAAGTCACCAATTACACATCTGACTCTTTATTTATTTCGAACATGAAAGAAGTATAAAATCACACACATGAGCAAGGAATGCAAAGAACATTTATTTTTGTACAATAAACTTAACATCCTTGTAAAGGAGAAGGAAGAAGGAAGAAACTTATGAACTCCTACCCCATAAACTCACACCACATCAAACATGATTTCCTTCAGTCACACGGTGGCTTTTGTTTTTATCCTGTCTGTGCAGGTTTTGAGCTCGGCTTCGCCATGGCCAGTCCCAACGCTCTGGTTCTGTGGGAGGCCCAGTTTGGAGACTTTCACAACACGGCCCAGTGCATCATCGACCAGTTCATCAGCTCCGGACAGGCAAAGTGGGTCAGACAGAACGGCATAGTGCTGCTGCTGCCGCACGGCATGGAGGGCATGGTAGGAACAAACAAACACCGCCTGAGAACATCCTGCGTTTTTCTTCTTCGCTGGTATATTCAGCTCAATTCAGAGAGACTTTATCAATCCCAAAGGGAAATTAAATAAATATTCTGCAGACACAATGTTTCTGTATTCTACTCTTTGTGTCTCTTGTTCACATCCAGGGTCCAGAGCATTCATCTGCCCGTCCTGAGAGGTTCCTACAGATGTGCAATGACGACTCAGATGTTTTTCCTGTAAGTTTGTGTCCCTATATAAGAACACTAAATACTGGATATGTTGACATAATCTAATGTTTTAACCTGGTGTAAAGTCATGTCAACTATTGTCTGCATAAATTAAACAGAGGTCTGACATCAACATTAGAAAATGTTTTTTTTTTCACAGCGGTGAAATCAGCTTTTTATTATTTTGAAACCTTTTTTTTATTATTATTATTAGAAAGTCACAGGGGACTTTGCAGTGCATCAGCTTTATGACTGTAACTGGATTGTGGTGAACTGCTCCACTCCTGCAAACTACTTCCATGTCCTGCGCAGGCAGATCCTGCTGCCCTTCAGGAAGCCTGTGAGCAACTCCCACTATGAACCGCAGCTCAGAGTTCAAACCGATGCAGTTCCTAAAGCTCAACATGCTCCTCTTCTCTCTGCTTTTCAAACAACAGCTCATTGTGTTTACACCAAAGTCGCTGCTGCGCCACCCAGAGGCCAAATCGAGTTTTGATGACATGCTGCCTGGTAAGAACTGATTTAAAAAAAAAAGAAAACATCCAGGAAATGTTGTCAATGAAATAAAATCTTGGTTTTATGTTATGCTATATTTTCTCCCACCAGGTACCCACTTCCAGCGCCTCATCCCGGATGAGGGGCCCGCAGCTGTTGGCCCCCAGAACGTGAAGAGGGTAGTTTTCTGCACAGGCAAGATTTACTACGACCTCATCAGAGAGCGTAAGAGCAGAGGCCTGGAGGATGCCGTCGCCGTCGTCCGCATCGAGCAGGTGATTGGTTCTGCCTTCGCTTCATCCAACCAACTTCATCTCCAGGCCTGAATCAACGCTGCAGCAGATTTAAAGTTGTGTTTGTGTGATGTTGCAGCTGTCTCCATTCCCCTTCGACCTGGTGAAAGCTGAGGCTGATCAGTACCAGAACGCCGATCTGGTTTGGTGTCAGGAGGAGCATAAGAACCAGGGTTACTACGACTACGTCAAGCCCCGCCTCCGTACGACATTGAACCGCACGCGCCCCATCTGGTCAGTTTTACATAAGGTCACCTGGTGTGAAGCTCTCTATACCAAAGCAATGCAAGAATGGTAGAAGTAATGATACAAGATGTAGTGCTTAGCATTAGCATCAGGGGCATTTTCTAACATGAAGTGGTGCATGACTGTGAAACAGAAGGAAATGCATGGTTGTCAATGTTTTGTTTTTACAGATGAGAATCTGAAAAGTGTGGCATGCATTCATTTCCTTTTTTCTTTTTTTTCCTGAACCACTACATAAAATGTAAAAGTCACATAATGAGGAAATAGCATCCAGGTGCACCATTGTGTCTCAGTGTGGATGCTGCTGCTCTGTGTTGGCCTCAGAGGATTGTTAGTGAACAAACAGAAAAGGTGCAAAAAAAAATTGATTCTACATGGAATCGGAATTCCAAGTCCTGGGAATCCTGAATCCACTGAAAATACTCAAAAATCCATTTTAAAATGCTGATCCTATTTGAGAGCATGAGAACAAGACAGCAAAATCTTTACAGCACATTTTCAGACACTCAAAGATGCATTCCCAGTAAACTGTGTATCGCATTACGCAATACTTTTGAAAGACTTCACATGGAAAGTCATAATGGTCAAAATTAGTTGTGGGGTTGATATGTGATCCGTTGTAGTGGAACAGACTTTTTTCATAATCTCATAATTATGATTTTCAGCCATTTTTTAAATTTGGATTTACCACTTCTGGTTTCTTCTGGTGCAGAATTCTGACGCATGCGTCACGTCGATCCAATGCGGCATGACCGTCCAGGCTGTTTGAAAACAATCCGATACGCATCTGATTTAGATCATGGTGTCTTAAGAGTCTCCTCATTGGATATGTTGGGCTGATCAAGACAAGGTCGATGTAAAAAAAAAATAAAAAAAAAACTTGAGTTTCTGTTTTGACGTTTGTGCCTGTGTGTTTGTGCAGGTATGCTGGCCGTGAGCCAGCTGCAGCTCCAGCCACTGGAAACAAACACAGTCACGTGACGGAGCTTCAGCGTTTACTGGACGCAGCCTTCGATCTGGAAACTTCCCCAGGGAAACTGTAACGGCCCCAGAACGCCACAGCCCAGCCCAGACCGGACTGTTTACACCGTTACCATGAAGACCGTGTGTTCACAGTGAGACACGATGCCGAAGGAAAACTACAGGACCACTGATTCATTTAATGATTTTGGTGAAATATTTGCTGGCACACAGAATAATAATAATTAGTTAAAGAATATTTAAATATTACAAGGAAAATCTAAACCTCAGAAACTAAGAAAAGAGAACAGCCAAATTGGTAACCTGGTAAAAACTTTTATTTGTGTGGCTCTCTGTTTGTACCGTTTGCCTCCCAACCAGCAAAAATATGAATTATGGTTTTACAGGAATTTGACTGAGAAAAATCAGATAGAAGAAAATGACATTTAATATTTTAGAAATTTTAGAGAGGTTGTTTGGACAGACGGAATTGATTTCTACTCAATTATTTTGAAAAATTGCCAACTAATCATTTAAGGGACAGTATTATGCAAAATGACGTAGTATCAGAAAAAGCAGGAGTTTTTAAAGAGACAGAGGTTCAACTTCAAGGCGTTACATTCCAAAGTCAAATTTTTTAGTCATATTTGCATATTTGAGGTCACATTTTTATAACCACTGAAGGTATCATAGTTACCTGATTGTGCTATAAAATGATCCTGTGTGCCTGGAAAATTTATAACCCCGACCCTTTAACTGGACTTTGAAATCAAGATTCCCGGATTTAAACTTTTACTGTTTCAAATCCACAAAGCAATTTAAAGTCTTATAATGAAATGTCAGTGTTGGAATGACTGGTATTCAACTGTATTTCCCCCTCCCTCACCTGTTGCTGTGCTGTCAGTGGTTTTTTTTTTCCCCTCTTACTGCATAAAAGCTGTTTCATTTATTTGAAAATGTTTGAAAACTCCACATCTATGCAGCGGCCAGCTACATGTTAGCAAGCTAACATCTCTTCAGTAGACTCCAGAATGGAAATGATGACATTTTGCACAATAAGTTCACTTATTTAAAAAAGAAAACACTAAAACTGCCACTTTTTCATTTTACAGTTTGTCTTCAACTAATCTGTTCATGTGCTTTAAAAAGAGCCGTTAAAATGATCTGCTCATATAAACACAAATGAAAAAAGTACGACTGAACCCTTAAAGTTCTAAATATCTGGTTTAGCTAAAGGAAACCGATATATGGGTTATCTGTGTCATGGATCAAAACAATCAAATACCGGTACGTGTTATAGATAACACTACTAATTAATATTTACATATCATTTTAATAGCACAGAGGATATTTTGTTGCCGTTTTATTATGAATAAAAGCAGTCAGATAATTTTTTTTCAATTTTTATTTGAAAATGTTTTTTGTTAGTATCATCAAACGTTCATGGGAAGATCTACTGCTCCATGCATACAGCTAACTATGAGATGAGGGTTTCTGGATAAAAATGCAACACTGAGCATCAGGAATTGTTTGACACACTGAGCTATGAGCTAATATAGCAGAAGAATGTTTGGTAAAAAAAAAAAGTTTTATTGGAAGTTCAACATCTCAAGCAGCCTCTGAGTTACAAAGTCAAGCTTAGGAGCTGAAGACGCTTCTTATTGCTTTTTTTTTTTCCCAGTCCAAAACATCACTCTTTAAGGTCTACTTGTACCAGATTATAGCATGTCTCTATGGAAACGTCACAGAATTGATGCAGATATGTCAGTAAACACACAATCTCTGAATTAAAGCATGTATTTATTATCATTTGTTGCTGCCTGTTTTAATGTTTTGAATAAAAATAAAGGATTTCTATCAGTGCTGTTAAACATAACTATATGTTTAATTATTTCACTGAGAAAGCAAAACTAATGTAAATGAAATCTGTAGTGTAATCCAGACAGAGTAGAATTAGAGAAAACTCGTTAGAACACACAAAAAAAATTATTCTAGTTTGGTTTATTTTGCAAATTCTCTGGTCCAGAAACATCTGGATAAGATAAGATAATACTACAGAACACTCACCGTTTAACACAAACAGAACTAAAAACGAAGCTCCATTTATCAGGAGCGAACAGTCAGTGATGAGATGTTTGGTCATTCAGGCTCTGGCAGCTTCTAAGAACCATGAATATAATTTGATTGGTTAATCATTTTAGACTGGCTTAACGCCCTGATGCGTTACCGTTTGTTCTCAATCACAGTGTCAAAATGTGCAAAAAGCATATTTCAGAATTACTGGTTTCTTCATTATAAACTAATTCCTTCGTTGCACATAGAGCAGAATGCCTCAGAGCTGACTCTGGGTTTTTGTCAGGTAGTCGAACAAACCCTCATGGAAATTGGGTTTGTTACGTAGAGCACAGTACTTCTCCAGATGTCTGTACAGCTGGCCTGAAAAAAAAAAAACAGAACATGAAGTAGATTTTAAAAAATTAGTTCTGCCAGTACTATTAACTTTACCATTCTTAAAGTAAATAGTAAACTATGTAAAGAAACATCTCAACATTTAAATCAAATCCCATCAAAAATAAACCTGCGTATGGAGAACTGAGTTATGAATCTCACTATTCTCTAGTTTTCCAGTGTGGGGAAAGTGACCCAAAGTGTTTGCATAATTGGTTTGTGTTTTTGTACTTTTGACCAGAATAAAAGTGGTCCCAATTTAAATCAGAACTATCATTGGTAGAAAGAAATTATATTTCTACATGACAAATAATTTACTGAAAGGTGTGCAAGAGAAGAGTAACACGAACACTACTGACTCTGAGAGGCTGGAGCATTTTTCTAAAGGGTTGTGTTTAAAAATAATTTAAAATTATTTTTATTCAACCAAGAAGCTTGTTTCTTATAGGAAATGGGACACGAATCTCTCAGAAAACAATAATAATAATAAATAAAAACAATACAATGATGTAAAATGTTCTTCACATTCTAAATTTAAAAACAGCACATCAAAAATTATTTATACCTTTTCCAATAATCAATGAAAAAATCTTTCCTGACACTATAGCAATCAAACATCAAACTTTTCTTGTACTTACTGTTCAACTTTTTGCATGATTTTACTGTCACTTTAGATCTTTGAAACTGCTAACAGAACATCAAGGAAAAAAACTCCTGGTAAAACTAAGATTAATTTAAACCTAAATATGCCAGTATGAATAATTTTGGTCTTAACTGTATCAGTGTAAAACCTTCCTATTTTTTGAAAGTGATGACATATTATTTAAGAAGCTCTTCAGAAAATATAACACACCAACAGTAAAGAATTTCAGCTTATTATCTTACCTTTTTTCAGGGAATAAAATGAGTACTTTTGTGTAAATTTCATTCTAGCCATCAATTTTTTTATTTTTATGTTTGTCCACCAGAGGGCGGTGTTGTTCCCAATTCTGACGGTGATACAAAATCTCAGACTTTCTACTGTTTTCTGTAATGAGACATATCAACTGAAATGATTAGCATGTTTTGCTACTGATGTTTGGGAATGGTGTGCTTTTAAAAAAATGTAATATTTCCATTTCAACCTTTTTAAGGTTTTATTGGCTCTAGTGGCTTTTATTTGATAGTGGATTGACAGGAAAGTGGGTAATGAGAGAGAGGGAAGACATACAGAAAGGGTCACCAGGCCGGGAACAGAACCTGCTACGGCCACATAGAGGTCTAAGACCTCCTTATGTGGGTGGTGGTTAACCCCTGGACGGCCACAGCACCCCCAGGTTGAACTAGTTTCATTACATTTATTGTCCGTACAGTGAGCTTTGGGAAGCTGACATTTTTTATAGAGACAAATGTTGATTTTAAAGGTCATCTGATCTGAAGGGTCAGCCTTTGTTTTGTTAATTATTCCAGTTTTCAACTGATGTCTTCCCAATGTATATTTTTAAGTTGCCCTATCATTTGTCATTAAGATAAACTTGTACTTCTTTTTTTCATTAAACTTAGCAGTTTTTCCATTTTTTGTCTCAAAGTAAACACACACACCATTCATAGTCATGACAGCTACTTCGGCAAAAACTTCAACTTGGCTTTCTGTCATGAAATGTCTCACCAACTGTCATTTTCTGTGTGACCAGCAGGTGGTACGTTTGCTGCAGCCTTCTGCACAGATGGTGGTCTCCAAACGTGAAGAAGGCCAAACCCCGCTTGGCCTGTGCTGCTGCCATCAGCTGGATCACAGCTGCAAACCAACACATAGCAACATCACTCAATCACTCTGTGTCAGATTAAAAAAACAGCCAAATACAGAAAATATTTCCCTGTTTTAGCTACGGGCTTAAAGGTGGAATATCTTTTCAGGGAATTGTAATAATAATAATACAGACCCAATTTTAGAGTAACAGAGTTTACCTTTGAGTTCTGGGTCTCCATTGAAGGCTCCACAGCCCCACTTTCCTGTGGCGATGTCTGGCTCTTCATGACCATGGTGACCTTTGAACCCACAGTAAGCCTTGGAAAACACACAGGCAAAAAAAAACAACAACTTGAAATGTAAAAACATTGAACTAATATGGCAAAGTCCATTCGATCAGATTTGAGCTAAGTTGTACCAGCAAGAAACACACTTTGCATTACGTGATCGGAACCTCCTCTGCATTCAGTCGAACAAATCTAAATTAATTTTTATTTATAAAGCACGTTTAAGAAACAACTTGTTCAACCAAAGTTCTAAAACTGCTGAAATAGAAAGACAGAAGCAAGACTGCTGACTCAGAGCTGACCTGTTTGTTGAACATTGAACCAGAATCCATGGTTACGCATGTTTAACATAGGTTTGGAATAGGGGTGTGTGTGTGTGTGTGTGTGTGTGTGTGTGTGTGTGTGTGTACATATGTTAGGACTAAAGAAAACCCCATCTGTTTTCTTTTCATTAAAGATCAGAGAATTCAAGGCCATCCAGACCAGGACATTCTCAAGGCTCTGAGATTAAAGGGAGCCTGGGTGGAAATAGGGAGAAATAAATCTGAGTCGTATGCATAAAACTTAAAAGGGATGCCATGATATCTTCAAATCAACTCTAAAACGAGAAGGTATAATGAAAAAAAGAGAGGACTGAGAATTCAACCTTGAGGGACTCCTGAGGAAAAAGGTGGTGAAGTTTTCCGAACGAACACAGAAAAGTTCTATCCAACAGATGTGAACTAAACCAGTGTAGCATTTATCCACAACCCAAAGCTCCAAACAGGATATTAGAGTACTGTGGTCAACACAGTGACTGACCTTGTTCAGTTCCCGTCTAACTTTCTCCATGTTGTACTGTTCCATGGGATGTCTGAAGTGACAGGCGTCGATGGCCAGAATCTGCCGCTTCAGCCGACGCCACTCGTCTCTGCAGAAAAAGTTCAAAGAAATCAGAAAACCAGCACAAACTGAAAACGTTCTAGTTTTTTGTTAGTTTGTTTTTTTAAACATGTCACACCTTTCAAGGTGATCATCATAAGGGCCCACCCACTGAAAGCTGTCACTGAAACCAGAGTAACAGCTGAACTGCTGCATACCTGAGGAACAGACAGCAAAAACACGAGGCAGCATGTGAGATGTGACACGGCTATGGTCTGGTCTGATCAAACGTCTTGGAATTTAGGTTTAACGTTTAGGAGAGTGTCTTGAGAATGTGCATGTTTACAGCAAATGAACTGAAAGGTTGAGAACCAATCAGAACCCAATAAATTTATCCTCGAGTAGGAACAAGTTTTATTGTACATTTCCTGCAGCGGCTTCTGTTTTTATGGCCAAAACATATCGAAACACTTAAACGTTTAATAACCTTTAACTTGTATATTGGATATGTATCTGTCACATAATACACAATATCCATACTTTTTTTTTTTACAGATTAAAAAAAATTAAATAGCTGAAACGTGGTAAAATCCTTCATTTATTTTGTTTAAACTTCATGTGATAGACCAGCAGGAAGTCCTGCATAATTGCAAAATTTCTCAAAATAAACTTGACCGTAAATATTCATTATTCATACTGAACTGTGATATCATCGTATAATTTTTATTGGTTGTTGGTTTTAATCTTTCATATAAAAAAAATATTATAATATGTAACATGCAGCTTGTGCAGGGTGTGTGTGCACCTACAAGAAAACACAGCAGTGTGGATCAGCCTGAGCTGACCAGGTCTACAGGTTTGGTTACCTGATGAGGTTTGGTGTTAAATGTAAGATATTCATAAAACAATAAATGAGACTGAAAACTATTTGGCTACCGTCTCCTGATAATCATGTGGTGCCTCGACGTGGTCATTTTGATCTGAATTAATCATTTTATTATTCATAGCCAAACCTAGGCCTATAGTTATACAACACACAACTGGTCTGAGGTTTTTCATTTCTACCTGTAATGATGAGACACTCATTCTTGTCAAGTTTCTCTGTGAAGAGACGAGCTACGATTAGCTCCGGGTTCATGAGGAACAGGATCTCTTCCTGAACCAGGCCGGAGTCCAGGACACCCCCACCTACTCTGCTGGCAGCAAAGTCCACCTGCACACACACACACACAGACACACACAGAATCCAGTAAGGCCTCAGCTGTGGACTGAAGAAGCTGTGGATCCTCTCAGCTGCAGGCTCCTTCTCACCTGAAGCAACTGTGCGTCTTCACCCTCGATCCGGCCCTCTGATGTAACATGCAGCTTGTGCAGGGTGTGTGTGCACCTACAAGAAAACACAGCAGTGTGGATCAGCCTGAGCTGACCAGGTCTACAGGTTTGGTTCCATGTTTCTAAAGTGTAACAGAAACACAAACAATATGGCTGCTTCAATATCTTCTTCCTTTAGTGGTTCTCATTAAAGGGGCAGTGTTAGGTGTTTTTGTTATACAAATTATAAAAATGCTGCAAATATGGCTTAAAAGACATTTGACTTTGTAATGTGTTTTGATGAGGGAATAATATTTTGACATGTTGTAAGGCTCAAAAAAGTGGATTTTACATAACACTGCCCCTTTAATAGAAGTGGAGTTCTATAAAACACATGAACTGAATCTGTGTACAACACAAACCCTAAGATGTGACCACCTACAGCTGAATTTGGTTTAAATTATGAATGTTATTGTTACATTTAGCATTTTTGGCCCATAGATCTTCATCAGTGCTGATAAAGTTCATTCTGGATAAACAGATACACAACATGCTAATCCAAAACCAGCCTAAATAAAGACCTCCATTTTGATCCCATAAAACTTTACCTGTGCAACCTGTAAACATTTTAAAGCTCTGCATTTTTAATTTTCTCATTGCTCAGATGTGAATGTGCAAAAGCATCAGATACATGTCGATTCATTTTGTTAATCTCTTAGGAGAATTTGTAGCAAATTCTAATAGGACAAGGAAACCTCAAGTCTTCATGTTTTCTTCCTCTGTTTCCCGTTCAGTGTTCACCACAGTGAATCATCCGTTTCCATCAGGTCAATTCAGGTCACTTATATACCGTCAACTCACAACTTATATCCTCTCAGGATGTTTGACAAGATGAACAGCAGTAGAAAAAATTGTGCAAAAGAGACTAATATGGCGACAAAGGGTCATCAGTTGGTAGATTTCCAGAATGATTTCCAGAAATTATGAAGTATCAAAGCTAAGTACTGACTTATAAGCTATGATTTTTTTTTATATAAAATTCTTTCAATCAATGCTACCAAAAGTAATGAAGTCTGTAACAGCATCACTGATGTGAGAATGTTTTCGTTTTTTATATTAATTAACATCAGACATTACTTTCCCCAGGTCGGAGTTTCTGCGTCGCTGAGCCACCGCCTCTCGAACGTCACCAGGCCTTCTGGTTTAGCTTCTACAGAGAAATCAGCAGATTGTCACAAACCTCCTGCGACGTACGTACCCCGCGAACACGCGTTCACGGTCCGAGGTCTGCACTCACTCTCGTTTGTCATCACATTAAAGTAGTGCATGATGGCCTTGAACTTCTGGTTCTTCCGCTCTGACCAGTTTCCAAACAATCTGAGCAGAATCAGAAGAATCAGTGGGGATGTTAAATAAAGACAGGGCAGCAGTAAGGAGCAGCGGTGACGCTGCGCCTGCTGACCTGCTGAAGTTTATGAACGGGTAGTTGTGGTATTCTGCGTTGGAGCTGGTGGTGTTGCGGTGAGGGAAGGTGCAGTAGAAGGCGTTGGCGAGCAGACAGGAAATCTGAACCTGGGACAAAGTGATGGAGGCTGGGTGGTGGCGCTGCAGCAGAGGGATGGGCTGGACACACAGACACAAACTATTACACTCATGGCATTTGGACAATGACATTAAACATAAAATGAATGTCACTGTACTTTTTCTTTTCCATACAAGCAAACACTAGGGCGGGGCTGGCAGCCTTAAAGCCAGACCCGCCCTTGTGCAGCTGAATGGGATACTCCTACACTGCATATGGACTCATGCTTGTACAGTTGTTCATTAGCTTTATTTTGTGTGTTTTATGTACAAGCAGTAATACATCCTTCTTCATTTTTACCTTTATATCTATCATGTTATGCTTATGTTAGCATGAAGGGCTACTTTTGTTTTGTTTGATTCTTTCCACATGCCAATTTTTTTTCTTCTCAGATTACGGCTTAGTTTTACTGCATAGCAACGTAGCAACAAAAGAGCAGTTTAGCTTTAGGTCCAGTTAACTTGGCTTATTAATCTTGCTGGACCAGAACTGAAGCGACAAAATTGACCATTAACTCAATTATCTAAATTTCCAGGCTTAATTTCATCCTCGTTAACTGATTCCGAGTCGAGTCTAAAGTCTTTAAAGTATGAGTCCAATCCAGATCTGAAGTCTTTTGTTTTTGTGAGTTCAGTACAATTTCAGTCTAGGCCTCTGACTTTTCCCTGTCTGGTTGGTAATGAGTCACCTAACGACACCTCCACTGGTACCTTCTTGACTTGATCAGGCAGCATCAAGGCCAAAGCAGCAATCTTTGGAAACAGCTTCTCGTAGAGGTTTTCAATATCCTCCTAGAAGCAAAGCATGAAACGTTTCTCATCACCCGAGGCTTTAATCAGTCATAAAACTCATCAGGTCAGTTTTAAGAGGTGACCACTGACCTTCACGTATCTGGGAAGTGCGTCAAAAGACCACTCTCGTTCATACCTGGGGTTGTACCTGAGGATGGCTTTCTGATGGGAGACACGTAACCAGAGTCAAACATCAGAGAGTTAGTATAATCATAGTATTAATAATGACTAATCCATAAGTGAAATAACTGTCAACTAATCCATCCATCCATCTGAATGTGTGTTTCTGCATTTAAGACAGAAACACACAGTGTTGTCTGTAAATACGTTATACCCAGAAGTCCTCAGGTGGCAGTTTTAGCCTCACCTGGTTCAAATTCACTGAAGAAAATCTTTGTTATTTCAGGAAATAAAACTATGATTTTCTTACTTAAAATAGGAATTGAATTATTTCTAATATAGTTCTAACATTGAATTGAAAAAGGTTTGTATGAAAAATCTGTAGAATTAGTCAATTTGTTTTTATCTGATTAATGGATTAATCATCAGAATTAATCGATTATTAAAGCAATCCTTAGTGACGTCCCTAGTTCAACCATACCTGCACCTCTTCGGCTTTTGCTGCTTTCTTCTTGGACAGAGCACGGAGCTGCTCAGAGATCAGGCTCCACCTCGACACTGGGCCCGAATGACTCTGCAACATCATTTACTTTTTACATTTTTAACATATTAAAAAAAATCTGCTTTTTTTCACCAAAAGTTCAGAAATTTGAGGACAAAATATAACCCGGCTCCTTCAAGACCTGCTTCTATTTTTTATTATTTTAAAGCTAAATCAGGTAGTAGAATACATTGTGTTCATAGAACAGTTCAATTCATGGAAGCTGCAGGGTTATGTTTTGCAGTTATGAGCAGTCAGTATCTTACCTGTAGTAGAAATCAGTCAGAGCAATATCAGTTTGGAGAATCAGGGAAAAGTTCTCATTTGGGAGTCAAGCTAACATACAAGCTGATTTCTACCACTTCAAACTCCTTCAAGTCAATTTTTTTCCAAGAGCACTAGATGCTGCTGTCACAACTAGAGTCAGTGAAAAGGTTGTTTTGTGAATGACAAAGTGAGTAAATGAAAGAAGTACAAAACGGGTACCGTCCCTTTGAGGTCTACATGCAGACATAAACATGAAGGTGTTTTTCATTAAATTCAACATTACATTAGAAACTTCACCGTTTATTTTCAGAAACTGCTGGAAACTATCTATTTAAGTCCAGATGCTATAAGTGCAAAGATCAGTTTAACAAAGATCAGTAAAGAAAGAAAAGTCTGATTGTTTAAAGAGACTGATTTCTGGGATCTTTGATTTGACCTTTTACCTGCTATACCTTTCTTTTATGTGTTAGAATTTTTGTTCTTTCCCCGGTGTCAGCAAATATTCCTTATTTGGAGAAGAAGCTCTGCTGCACAGCAAAACGTCTCTTAACCCCTTCACAGCAGGTCATAAAACCTTGTCTTTACTCTGAAACACTAGAAGTACAAAGTCTGGATGACCTTATGAAACTGTCTAACTGTGATTTCATTAATTCTTCACCTTGAATGTAAAGGTACCAAACTGTGTGTCTGGTTTCGGTGAGACGCTCGATGGTGAACACGGCATCTTAACAAAGCTACTGAGCCACAGGTCTCTCCCGTCCTGAGGAACAATCGCCCCGCACCTGAAGGAATCCACCTGAAAAGCAAACATGAGAAGAGAAATGATTCTGTCTGGAACATGGTTTTATTATTATGCAATAAGCCTAACCTCTATTGAAGGTTAGGCTTCAAAAAGCATTTAATACATGCTTTTAAATGGCTTAATTATTGATCGAGATGTTATGTAAGGTGGATCCCAGCCGCTACTCAGTTCATTATTAAATTAGTGCTAAGGCAGTTTCAACATTACTGCATATTAAGGTATGTCTGGTATTTAAACTATTAGAATAGGAAATTATAAACATGTTCATATGGGGTGTCAAGTATTTGCAATTTAAGCTATTCCCAGTCAGTCAGGTCCCCAACCCAAAATTACTACATTTGGAATTAGAGTTTTTTTATGAAGAAAAGATTTTATTAAAAAATAACTATTTTACTTTGGATTACAGTTGAAACGATAAATCAAATTAATCATGCTGAATCGATTACCAAAATAATTGCCAACTAATTTAGTAATAAATTAATCATTTGGACTATACAGACCCACTAAAAAGGTTAACTGATGAAAGAAGAACACAATCAAAGCAGTAATTAAGCCAAAACTACATGAGCCAAAAAATTAGCATTTTGCATTTATGACAAAAAAAATTCTTTGTAAATATGTTGTACCCAGAACTCCTGGAGCAGCACAGGTTTACCTTCACTTTGTTCAAATTCTGTGACAAAAATCTAACAAGCAACTTTTGCTACCCAATTACTGATTAATCTAAAAAATTATCATCAGATTTTCTTGCATTTTAGTTTATTTAAAAACATTATTGTGTATATTTATTAGCATTTTATTAATGTATTTCTAATATTGCATAAAAAAAGGCTTAGATGAAAAATTTGCAGAATGTAACCCAATTTTTCCCAATGAATAGTCAGAATAATCAACAGAATAATCAATAGTCACCGCCCTACTTTGGATATGTATGTATACGTGTTTGCCCCCTTCCTCAGTTCCTGTTTTTTTGCATGTTTGTCACACTTAAGTGTTTCGGAACATCAAACCAATTCAAACAATAGTCAAGGACAACACAAGTAAACACAAAATGCAATTTGTAAATGAAGGTGTTTATTATTAAACGAGAAAAAAATCCAAACCATCATGGCCCTGTGTGAAAAAGTGATTGCCCCCCTCATTAAAATATACTATAACTGTGGTTTTTAACACCTGAGTTCAATTTCTCTAGCCACACCCAGGCCTGATTATTGCCACACCTGTTTTCAATCAAGACATCACTTAAATAGGAGCTGCCTGACACAGTAAAGTGCACCAAAAGATCCTTAAAAGCTACACATCATGCTGAGATCCAAAGAAATTCAGGAACAATTGAGAAAGACAGTAATTAAGATCTATCAGTCTGGAAAGGGTTAGAAAGCCATTTGGGAATCCAGCGAACCACAGTGAGAGCCATTATCCACAAATGGCGAAGACATGGAACAGTGGTGAACCTTCCCAGGAGTGGCCGGCCGCCCAAAATTACCCCAAGAGCGCAGCGACGACTCATCCAAGAGGTCACAAAAGACCCCACAACAACGTCCAAAGAACTGCAGGCCTCACTTGCCTCAGTTAAGGTCAGCGTTCATGCCTCCACCATCAGAAAAAGACTGGGCAAAAATGGCCTGCATGGCAGAGTTCCAAGAAGAAAACCACTGCTGAGCAAAAAGAACATTAAAGCTCGTCTCAATTTTTCCAAAACACATCTTGATGATCCCCAAGACTTTTGGGAAAACATTCTGTGGAGCGATGAGACAAAAGTGGAACTCTTTGGAAGGTGTGTGTCCCATTACATCTGGCGTAAAAGCAACACTGCATTTCAGAAAAAAAAACATTATACCAACAGTAAAATATGGTGGTGGTAGTGTGATGGTCTGGGGCTGTTTTGCTGCGTCAAGACCTGGAAGACTTGCTGTGATAGATGGAACTATGAATTCTGCTCTCTACCAAAAGATCCTGAAGGAGAACGTCCGACCATCTGTTCATGAACTCAAGCTGAAACGAACTTGGGTTCTGCAGCAGGACAATGATCCTAAACACACCAGCAAGTACACCACTGAATGGCTGAAGGAAAACAAAATGAAGACTTTGGAGTGGCCTAGTCAAAGTCCTGACCTGAATCCTATTGAGATGTTGTGGTATGACCTTAAAAAGGCCGTTCATGCTCGAAAACCCTCTAATGTAACTGAATTAGAACAATTCTGCATAGATGAGTGGGCCAAAATTTCTCCAGAATGCTGTAAAAGACTCATTGCAAGTTATCGCAAACACTTGGTTGCAGTTGTTGCTGCTAAGGGTGGCCCAACCAGTTATTAGGTTTAGGGGGCAATCACTTTTTCACACAGGGCCATGATGGTTTGGATTTTTTTTTCTCCTTTAATAATAAACACTTTCATTTACAAATTGCATTTTGTGTTTACTTGTGTTGTCCTTGACTATTGTTTAAATTGGTTTGATGTTCCAAAACACTTAAGTGTGACAAACATGCAAAAAAACAGGAAATGAGGAAGGGGGCAAACACTTTTTCACACCACTGTATATTTTTCCAACAGGTGATGCCTGTAAATGAAGACGTCCTACTTATTCCTTGTTCAGAACAAAAAAGACAGAGAGAAAGGCAGAAACAACTCACATCTATGAGGACGGTGTGAGACTTTGAGAAGGTCAGTTTTCCCAGTTTGATGTCACACTGTGGAAGCGTCTTCAGTTCATCCAGCTGGCAGCACGACAAGCCGACTTCACTGCGCTCCTCACCAGGCGCCGTCCCCACAGGCATGTGTTTGGCTGTCTTACTTCCATCCTCGTTGCAACTGTCTCCACCGCATTTGCTTGTCTTTCTTGCATCCTCGTTGCAACTGTCTCCACCGCATTTGCTTGTCTTTCTTGCATCCTCGTTGCAACTGTCTCCATCGTGTTTGCTTGTCTTTCTTGCATCCTCGTTGCAACTGTCTCCATCGTGTTTGCTTGTCTTTCTTGTGTTCTGATTGCAGCTGTGTCCAGATGTGGATGGATCAGAGGAGCTGGCCTGGGTTGAGCCATCCTTGCCGTTCTGCTGGTTTTCATTTTTGGGCTTTTCCTTTTCACTGTGCAGAGAATCAAAGGTGCGTTCTTTGGCCTGGGAGCTGTTATTGCGATAGTTTTTATTTTCCATGTCTGCAGGAAACAAGAGAAGGTGATCAGGAGTTTTATGTTCTCTGGTTAATCCCAAGATATTCCCAGTCAGACATTTCTCAAAAACCAACATGTACTAATAACAATGATAACAGTAGCAATAAGCTGTTTATTTTAACTTCTGATATAATAAGTCTCTTATTGAAGCTGTTAGCACATATAGTGTCTATTAACATGATTGTTGCCAGTTTCAGTGCATAAAATATGAAGTTTTCAGACTAGAAACAGGAAGGAAGGAGTTCAGTTCTACGTTGTTTCTTGATCTGAGGTCTTTTTTCTGAATTATGTTGCGACAAAAATTTTAGGAGTCTGTCACCTTCACTGATCCTGTTTTTAACTGACAAACAAATCTCTTTGTAATAAGTATCAATAAAATCTTTCTAAGACATTTATCTACTAAATCTGACATGTGATTAATATCAATAAATATCTCATAGAATGTCCAGTATTCAATATATATAGAATATTCTGAATCAGAATCAACAACTGTGAGCAAAGGAGTAAAATTATTCCATTTTGTGTTCCTAGAATATTTTTGTGGAGTTATCCAAAGACTTAATTCGTATCATAGGTGGCAGAAAATGTTGGGTTTTTTGTTTGTTTTTGTTTTTTTACCTTTTTTGTTTATTAAAACTGTACATTCCAGGGTTACATTTAAAAATTTTGAATAATTTTGAAATAATTGTTCAAGATTATTTGAATAGTTTTTAATGTTAAAAAAAGGATTTTTTTTTCTTTTACATAAGTTCTTTTTCTTTAACTAGAATAAACAATATGAATATGTTTGTTACCTCTAATCAGTTTTAGGTTGAGATGACTTCAAGCATCTACTTATAAAAGTTAATCTCATCTAACCTTTGTTTTACATCGTCTCTTTCTTCTTGCAAATTTCTTCATGGTACATTTTTTACTTCATTTAGGACTTTCTCATTGATGCCAGTGAAATGTCAGTTCTACTTTTGGGGTTTCTGTAGAAACTAATCTTGTAATTCATCTTTCATGAATAGCCAAATTCTTTCTCAGTTGTTGGAATGTTGAGATATAAGTAAAGCATAAGCATACACCCCACACCCAGCAACAGACCAACAGAGCAAACAAACAAAAAATCCAGCAAAAACTGAAGGAGAGAGGATCTTAAGTACTGAGGAAGTTGTGGGAGAGAAGAAGGAATCAGAAGAGCTAATTACACGAGTGGGGACAGCTAGAGAAGAGGAAATGGGGGGAAACTGGAAAAAGGAACATTATGGGTATCAGAGGGAAGAAGGAAAAACTATAAAACTAAAGGAACAAATCAAAGGAACTAAAAGCTAAATAAATAACGAAAGCTAATTGACTGAACAAAAACTAAATAATTAAAACAGAACATGAACTAAGAACGCCAACATCTTAAGAAACACAAAATGAGATACAACAACAAACTAAGAACCAAATCTAGGCGATAAACTAAGACTAGAAATAAAGTAAACAATAAAGAAATTTCCCAAATAAGCAATAATGAAACTGAAAGTCTATGCACATGTGGATAATGACAGAAAACACAAGTCGAAGCTCAAGCATCTCAGTGACGGGAATCATTCGTCTGGAGGTGAACTGATAAAGCAGTTCAGTGTAATTTGACCTCCTTAGCTTTACAGTCGAGGTTATTTTTCCGAACCAAACATTGACCTCAATCAAAACTCCGAAAGACAGGCGCGTGCCCACATGTAGCCGTCGGTAATATATTTAATTTAGCAAACATTCTGCTATAAAACTCACCTTTAGTCAAAGACTGCGTTGGGTTTATTCGGATGTCGTGTAATTCTGTCTAAAAGAGTTGTCTTCCTCGATGTGAACGCCCCCTGGACTGGAGGAAAACAGTTCAGCTTACTTTAGATTAGAATCGAAAACGAAAGTGAACTGAAACCAACTGCGGCTGCGCACAACCTCGAAAGAAGATTTGGAGTTGGTCATATGTGGAGAGTACTGGAATGTTTTATCATCCGATAAAACATTCATAGTTTTATCGGATGATGAAAACGAAGAATGTTTTGAGGACCCAACCATCATGTAAAACACCTCGCATCTCTAGAAATTTTCTTGTTATATAATTCAGTCCAGTTCCAGTGTGTGAACAAGATTAATGTCTAAGAAAACTAATAATAAAAAGTTTTCCTCGCTTTGCTTTGACATGTTAAATCACTAAAAACATTGGATTAGCAAGTTTGTGGTGGCAGAACTTAAATTTAATGCGAGACTGACTTTCTCTTAAACATCCGAATCTGACTTCACAAATGCTGTCTTGGAATAATGTTCAAAGAATTACAGAATTATATTCCTAACACTTGTGAAAAATTCTCCCAGGTGTGTTCTGTTATAGCTGCAAAGGGTGGGATAACATTGTATCTAACTCAATAGACTATGAATGTAATATCAAGGTAAATGAGTGAAAATGCAGAGATGACTTATAAGAAAATTTTTGTCAAACTCTTTAAATTTTTACCTCCATCTTATAAAAACTGCCCAGAGAAATTGACAAGAAGTTACTGGATTAACTAATAAAATAACAAACACACATACAAACATACTATAAAATTTTAGTGTAGAGTTAGACCAGAATAATCATTGAAACAAGCATGGTACACCATGGATTATGAGATGTGAAATACATTAGCAGTTAGTTTGTGTCTGTTCAGGAACTAGACATAATCTCCTCACAATTAATCATAATCATAGAGTAAATAATAAAAAACAGCAAAAAATAATGAAAATGTTTTTTGCTGTTCTTTTAGACACAACATAAAGATTTGACTGAGTTTGCTGTGTTTGCTTTTCAACAGAGGATGGCAGTAGTGAGCCAGAATATGTGAGTTAACACCAGGTTTTTCACAAGATCGTCTTTGTATTATTAGAGATAAGCTTTTAATTTAAACTGAATCTTATGCACTCACATTTTCACACTTTGACATTCAGTTATTTTAATTCATTTTTTACCTAAAATTGTATTAATTTGATAGACAACCTTTGAGTAAAAAAGAGATCTAAATATACATTATTTTTAATATACCTTATTTTCCGCACTATAAGGCCCACCGGATTATAAGGTGCACCTTCAATGAATGGCCTATT